TTTTTGCTGTTTGCTGCACGAATGGGGAGGTTAAGTCAGCCGATTGAAGTGCTTGCATGCACATCTTCGGCTATCCCTTGCACGGGGACCTTTCTCATCACTCCCTTTTTCTGGGTCGTCCGCTGAGGATCCTGAGATACAGCAGATTGATTGGTTGCAGGAAACTGTACGTCTAAACAGTAAAGCAGCCTCGCTTTTGCGTGTTTTCAAGTCACACGACCCCAGAGGTTGACTGTGCGTGTGTGTATGTGTGGGTGCGATGGTCAACCGCACCCTCCCCACCTCCGGTCTTCTTGACTCTATCTTGACGCCGGGTCCAGGTGAAGAGTGGGAGGAGAGGGTGCGGTAGATGCTGTGCAAGTCTACTACCGCTATAAACTAACTCACGCACAAGTCACCGTGTCTGCTCCCACCTTGCCGTGGAGCTCAAGGTGGACATTGTCGCGTGTGGTGTCATAGCCCTGCGTAGGCCTTGACGCTGCGCCCAGTCGCATCGCGTCCGTTGGTTGGCAGTCACGGACGGTCGACTTGTGCACGGAAGATGTAAGAAGGAGTAAGGCCAACACTGGGAAACCCGATCCCACGACACATCGGTGCATTTCTAACTATAAGGAAGTCTGATGTCCTTGAATCTGGTATTGGGGGGCGCTTACCGATCCTTTTGCGGAACTCGCTCGTCCTGTTGTGCCTTGGGGCTCTCTTTCTTTCGAGCTCAACCAGCAGCCACACAGCGGCGTGTACTATAGATGGAATAACATTACCGACGATGACAGGGAAGACTGGGATGGCCATTTCTGGTGAACGCCCCCCTGCCATTGTGTATGCCCGATCTCAACCGACAGGACAACGAGCCTGTGGCTCAGTGGTTAGAGACGTCGGACTCCTAACCAACAGGTCTCAGGATCGAGTCCTAGGTGTTTCACGCTTTGGGGTTGGGTATGACTGGCTGACGACAGCTAATAAGCGAAAAATGGCCGTTCCAGTCTCCTTATCTTTGCCGGTAGTGCTATTTTCCACTTGAATCTATCGTCACAAACTAATACTCGTGCGTTCGATGATTGCCAGCTGACGGGGTTACGCTCCTCGGGACGTACTAGCCAGACCCCAGTGGCCTCTTCTGACACTCC